ACTACGTTTCATATTTCACTCCTCGGGAAAGGGCATCTTTTCAGTCAGAATCAGGTCCGAAGTCCTTACTTGAACGAACCTGCCCATTCAACCCCGGTCCATGTCCTCGTCAATACTCGAGAATAGAGCCTTGGTAGCCCGACGCTGAAGTTTTATTAACCCTCCTCGAAAAAGTCGAGTACGGTATAATCGGATAAGATGGTCGAGGGTGAACGACATCCCCACGATTTTGCTTACAAAATATCAGATCAGGATAACGATCCGCCAAAAATAAGGGTGGACCTGACCTAGGGTTGTTTGGTATTGACGACAGAAATCAATGATAACGGAATCGAGGGGACCCAACGTGAAAGGATAAGAATACATATTCAAAAACCCTCTCACGTGCGAAGTGATATCTTCGTCAGAAGAAGGAATCATTATTTCTTTTTTATCCCAATTGCAATCTTTCTTTAGCTGTTGGAGGTGATTCTCGGTTATCGAACATATATACCTCGACATCGGTTCACATCGACCAGGCACCGATGATCCTTTATCGACCTTGAAATCATAAGTTAGGACGCACGCCCCAGGAACGCACTCCTCAGGCCGTGGTTCTGCCGGCGTATCATCGGCGGCACACTGTGAAGATGAAGTTTTCTCTTTTTGAGGGATGGTTTATGACGTTTTCGCCATTTTCTAGTTCAGAAGCAAAGAATAGAGAAAAATGACAAAGATTTGGTAAAATTGAGGAGGGGCTTTTGCAGAAAGAAATTACAGATTTACTGGTAAGTTGGAGAGTACGAAGAAAAACTTATGAAATTTGGAAGATAGAAGATGTAAAAGTGGTAAAAGATAAAAGAAAGGATTATTTATAGGTTCAAGCGATGGCGGTTCAGTATCAGCGGTGGCCGACCACCGCCTGACATGCATTAAATGTCTTGAAAGACTAAACCGACGGGATAGCTACTAGATGCGTCATGGTCGAAATTGATGGAAACGTCAGGTTATAATCGATCGAGCCGTTAAAAAATCATATCGTTTCTCGCCACATTCTTTCTAAGAAACGAGGGGACTATCCGTATACGGTCGAAATAGATTTCGGCCTTAGCACGTCCGATCGAGTTCGAACGATGATCTATCGAGGTAAGATCCCGAAGGTGGAACAAACTAACCTCGAACCCGGGGAGGCCGATCCGTGTCGAGGTCGATATCATTATCAAGCTCGAATCGAAATCGAACCATGATGCAGAGTAGATCTATCATGCTGATAATCCAGAGACCAATCAACATTGACCTCGAATCAATTCAAGGGCTCGAGCGAGGATCGTTCTCGAACCAAGATCAAGAGCTCGAGTCGAAATCAAGCTCAAACCAAAATCAATGGTTCTAAGCAAGATCGAGCTCGCAGACAAAAGCCGTTGCAATCCCACTAGAGAGAATCTTGGCAGAAATTGTAAAAAAGCTGACTTATTATGGGTCTTCCATTAAATATTTATTTTATTATGCTTATAGCCAAATCCCTCCACTATAAAAGGGCTTGGTTACCATATTTGTAAAATAAGTTTTTCTCAGACTTACATTGTAATAAAAGCGCTATATTTTTCTATAGTAAAGAATCGTTCTTTCAGATTTTTTAGATTGATTATATTTGTTGAATCCTAAGATTTATTGTTCCTAACAACCTTATCTATTTCACATTCTCTGCAATCTATATTTACATTTCTATTTATCCTTATATTTTGTGTTAAGTTACGCCACATATCCTCGGGACTGCGTATAAATTCAACTCTATCCATTTTTTCGGGTAAACATTAATATTCCACGTATTTCATATAATAATTATCTGGAACCTCACAAACGGATCAAGAGGTCATGGTATCACATGTAAAAGTGCACATGCACAACCTTCTCTCCTTTTATGTTTTCATTTTTAATGTTGAATGTTAATTGAATTTGGAACATAATGACAAAATTCGTCAAAGCAAAAAACACTAAAAGTAAACCAAGTCAAATCAGAATCTGGTTTAACATGTGAACTTTTGTCGACCCTACTTTAATTTCAATCCTTTTTTTTCCCTTGATGTTTATGTCACATTTAGTCATAGCTTAAGAAGTCTCAAATGCAATTATCAAATTAAAAGAATTTTTCGGTGGAGGATGCTACGTCTTTCTAGTGAGTTAATTAGTCAAACCAATAACTTGATACTATTAGACAATTGGGCTACACCTCAAATGCCGACGTGTCATGTGCTCCTCCGCGGCGCCGCCGCATCACATGGCTAGGCCAGTCCACCCGCGTAATTAATTGGCCAGAATTAAAGAGAAAGGGAGTTTAAATTCCCTGTCGAGTCTGCTCCGATCCGAAAATGACTAGCTACCATACAACACTGTTTCAACTTTCAACGAGTAACATGAAATCAGAGTTTCCGAATTCGGATCGCAAATTTTAGGCAAGAAGTCCATATAATTAAAATAGGAAGAAGCTATCCTCTTACTCTGAAAATTATTCCTTCTGTATTGAAAAACACAAAACCTATTAATAATAATATTGGTATTGTTGGAAATTAATTAGGAGAGGAAGGGCATTTTTTATAAATCAAATTCTTTTGAAGAAAAAAAAGAGAGTATTTTGTCTCGCTTTGATTTGGAATCATACATTAGTGGTGGCAAAATGGATTAAAAAAATAGTTATCCATTCATATTATCCACTAAAAATATGGGTTAGATAATTATTTACCCCAAAATCGGATAACAATTGAATTTATTCGCGGTTTTAAGGATTTGTGATCTAATTTTATATAAAGTGAGAAATCAGATTTAATATGGAAGAATAAGTAAAAAAATAAATGCAAACCGTGCAGATTGGACAACTTAAGCCTCGCAAGGTTGATTTCCTTCGAATTTAGATGTGATATTATTGAAGCTAGAATAATATGAACAAAGCTGAAAAAAATAGTATCTTGTTCTCTTAAGTATGTTACCACGAGTCCAATGGATTACTCCATTCCCTTTATATATATATGGGAAGATGAAATCTTTAAGACATTATTTTATAAGAAATTATGTAGACCGTTGGCTCCCTTTTTGACTTAATCCCATAATTTTCACCGTAATGAATGGTCAATGGCGAGAATCACAGATACTTGTCGTGTGAGTTGGCAAACCTTTTCTTCGAGGTCGTTAGAAGCAGGGTTGGTCGTTCCCCCGATAAACTCGAGGGCAAATCTGATGGTCTTATCCAAACTTCGATCCTCGATATTGAGCTCAGTTATATCTGTAATTTTGATCTTTTATGTAGGTGCCGAGCCTTGACCTATTGTTCCAGATGCCTCGATCAAGCATAGAGCTCCGTTCTACCCGTATATAGATAGTCCCCTGTTTTTGGAGAGTAAGCGATTAAAAATGATATGAATCATCGGTCCTTACTTCGATAAATCATGACGACGGGTACATGATATAGGTGATAAGAATAGTGGAAACGTCCCGTCAGTCCGGTCTTCGAGGCATTAAATGTATGTCAGTTGGCGATCGGCTACCTTTGGAGATGAACCGCCGCTTGAGGAACCTATAAATACCCTTTAATTCGTTTGTTAGAACTTTTGCGCTCAAATCCTTCTTGCATTCTAAGAACTTCATCTTCTTCCTTTTCTGGTTTTCTCATTGCCAACCTTGAAGCTTCCCCTTATCAACAATCTCATTCCTTCATTTTTTTTTTAATAAAAATGGCAAAAACTTCAAAGTCTGTTCCTAAAAAAGAAACACCTTCTTCTTCAAAACCTTCTGAAGACGCTCCTCACGCTGCTACTGAGGAACCCCATCTGATATCATACATCCCTACTGGGTACCCTACTGTGGATGATTTCAAGATTGAGAACACGCCCATGGTACCGTGTCGATGTAAACCGGTCTCGAGATACATATGTACGATCACAGACAACATCCTCGATAAGGTTAAAAAGGATTGCAACTGGGTAGGCAAACACGTAGTGGTTCCCACCCCTGAAGAATCAATCACCACCTACGTGGAGGGTTTCTTAAGTGTTTACACTTACCCTTTCACGTTGGGTCCTCTAGACCCGATTATCATAGCCTTTTGCAAAAGGTATGATGTGACGCTCAGGCAGATACTTCATTCATTTTGGAGGATCGTTATTCTGTTTCGATTCTTTGTGAGCAAGGTCGAGGGATGTCTATTCACTATCGACCATCTCATGCGCCTGTATAGCCCTCGATTTTACTGAGGAGGGTTAATTAAGCTTGCACGCCAAGCCACCAAGACCTTGTTCTCGAGTATCGACGAGGATCGCGACCGAGGTTGGTTTGGTAGATTTGTTCGAGTGAGGACCTCAGACTTAATCCCGACCGCGGACATGCCGTTCCCTAAGAAATGGAACATGAAACGTAAGCTTAGCTTTGTCTTCGGTATTCCTTTTATTGCTTTTCATTCCGTTTGGTTTCTCATCGATGTTATGTGATGCAGCTGTTGCCCAGATGCCGAACCCCGTTCCCGAAATTAAAGAGTGGGTCGAGGGCATTGCGACATATAGACCTTATTCTGAACGCTTATGGCGTGAGCTCTTGAAGGGCCGATGGGAGTGTTGACATCCAATTTTGTCCCTCATTTCTTCCAACTAATTCTCTTGAGCCTTTAAGTTACTAATAATTTAAATTCCTTATTTTTACTAATATTTTTTGTTATATTTGTTACTAATAATATTATTATTATTTTTATGATGATGATGATGATGATCATCATCATTATTATTATTATTATTATTATTATTATTATTATTATTATTATTATTATTACTACTCCTACCATCACCACCACCATCACCACGATTACTATTGCTACTAAATAATAATATTATTAGTATTATCATTATTATTATTAATTACTTAATATTATTATTACTACTACTATTGTTATTGTATAATGTATTTTAAAGATGAAGTATTTGAACCAACTTAGAAGCTTAGAAGAAGTACAAGAAGAAAGGAATTTCAGGACAATTTCAACAGCCCATATTTCAGCCACACTTCAAATCAGCCCATCAGATACAGCCCAATTAATTTTAGCCCAAGACTATCTTAATACATCAGCAAGGTATTCTTGTCTTCTTTCCCCCAAAACGTTGCTCTTCACCCGTTTGCCTCTCTACGATGTCAAAGCCATTTTTGGCTCCATCTCCATAATTAGACAAGTCTTTAAACTTCATCCTTCACAATCAAAAGGTGCATGGCCATTTCGAGCTGAACTCTGAATCAAATTGATAAGGAATCCCAGAAGTTTTGGCCAAATCTTTAAAGATCACAGATGAGGACAAATGGAATTAAAAAGGGTGAAGCTTTTCTTCGTCCTTGCTTCTGATACTTCTGCCATCACCAACGTTCGAAATTTGAACGGCTCTTGTTTTTGCCTCGCAAATCCCGCCCAAATTCACCGTTGGGAGAACCCTAATTTTCTTCTATAAATACTCTTTTTTACCTTCTGTTAAAAAAAGAGGTTCAGCCGCCTACACTAGTGACTAGACACACGAACCAGTCACCTTTTGAACACTACTACTTTGCCACTCTCATCACTGTTATAGTCTCTTAAACACTCAAAAAATCTCTTACAGAACTTTTCTTCCGATCGAGGTTCGAATCTTTTCATAACGAGAGAGCAGATTCGAGGCCAACATCATCCCGGTTCACTGCACCCAACAAGGTCAGTGTTCGTTTTTTTCCCCCTCTTTTCTGCTCTGTCGATTCTTCGCAACATATTCATGATTTGTTGTCTATTTTATTTGAGTGCTATTAGTGCCGATTTATTTTCCACCCTTTAGATACCATGCTTTTTAGGTAGAAGAAAGGATATCCTGTTTAATCAATAGTACTTTTATTAAGCAATTGTTAATATGACATAAGAATTGTTTTTTTCTGTTAAAGTACTATTATGTCTGTTCTTTTTTTTTTTTCTGCTTTTAAATGATTAAAAAAAAGACTTTATGTTTTAGAGAGCATGCCTATAGGAAAATCTACCTGTCTGCTCGTTTGATAGATAAAACAGTCCATGTTGGTACATTTTAAAAGTTTTTGACATCAACAATATGGAATCATCTGAAGTAACTTAAGTACGAATAGAAAAGTGTACATATTTATTAGTTAGACATACATTTAGGACTTAAATAGTGTTTTGTCTAGTCTAAAGAAACTAATTGTTTGCAGCTTGTAGTTTTTACTCTTCCAAAATATTTTTTTTTAAAGCTGATGATATGCGAAGAATGTCGTAAGATTTCGGACTTGCTTAACATTTGTTAGGATTATGTAAATGTTTACATAATTAAGGATTTGATGCAACTTTCTCATTTTTCTTACTGTAAAAGATACTAGAATATTTTCTAATTCATCTGTACCATGGAGCCAGAAAGAGTCTCAATGCGAGTCTCGACGCAGCTGCCAACCATATGGAATCCACATGCCCTTACTCTCCAGCTTTTGCATCATCTAGACAACAGATCATGGAATATAAAATCTTCTGTTGGAAGCCGAATCTGGCTTTCGATCATTTCACTGTTACTTAGCTTATGTTGCTTTTCCGATATTGTGACTAACAATATTGTTTGTTTAGTGGCATATTTGTTTTGATTATGGGTTTGTTATAACTAACATTTTTAACTATTTAAAAGCTTTACTCTAGCTAATAATGAAGATACCTTTTTCATAGAATATGACATAGGTATGGAGATTTTTATTTTTTATTAAAAAGTGAGGGTAATAGACCAATTTAATTTTGGGGTAGTATTTGAAACAGCTAAGCTCGCTATTTACCCAAGTCAAAACCTGGTTTTCTTTCTTAAGTTTTGGATACATTGGAGAGGGCGTGACTATAAACAATGGTGTTTGATAAAACCTGACATTTTTTTGCATTCACATTTGATTTACTTGGTTCCTTAATCTATTTGTGTGGCAGAAGTGTACTTTCTTCCTAATATAAGACATTTTGCCCTCAACTCATTTTGTTCTGAAATAACTTAATTCCATTTTAAAAGCAACATGGGATTTTTCGTTTGAATTTCTTCAAATCGTGCTTTTGAAATTGGCTCTTTTCGTGACAATCTTTCTTTCAAATCAAAGTTATTACCTTTTTTATAATTTTTTTTACATTACAACAATTAGCTTTAATTAACTTTAGTCCGGCCGGTTAACCATTTAATATGGATCTTAAAGGGTGCCTTAAAAACCTTCCCTTTAGATTAATTGAAACCTTACTTAGAATCTTTAGGTTAAGTAGACCATTAACAGAGTTATACTTTATTAAATTACTTTAATCAATTTAGGTGTCCTAATTCACCTTAAAAAAATAATTAGGTGGCAACTCTATTACTTTAATCAAACTCTAGAAATTACCTATATGTTGTACTCTAGTTTGACCTATGTTAAAATAGGGTATAATAGGGAGGTCTGTAATCATGGTAAGGGTTTTTCCCTAATAATACATATGATCTCATTTTTTCATCATCAGTATCTGATCCGTTATATTTTCATTTGGTAGGTTTAGGAGAGGACGTCGAGATGAGGCCTCCATCAGCTGACGATGATATACACGCCGATTCCCCTACTTCGAAATAGGGCAAAGAGAAGAAGACCGAGGGCTGACTTGCGCAGAACCCTAAGAAATCTAGCACCCGAGAACTTTCATCGGACTTACTCAATCGTTTGAGGGGTGATTGACCTTTCTGGTCTCCTTTGTTTACAACTTCTCTGATAAACGAGGCCCGGGCGTTGAAAGGTAACCTCGGCGAATGGGCCCAATGAGTAGCCGATTCTTTCCATAATTTTTTCGACGGTCTAGATTCCACTGCTTCTGAGGATGTTACTAGTTTGGGAGACCTACCGGTACCACGGAAGATACCGTCCCCGCGAGCTGGTGGGTCCTCTTCGAGCCTGAAATTAGTGAACCAGTTCCCTGCTCCGAGGGTTGTTCCTACTCGGAGGCGAGCAATTTATATGTCCATCCCGGAGGACGCCCGGGTTCTTTCCGCCTCGGTAGGAATTGCTAGTTATCTTCGGTGCTTGGTGACTGAAGAGGATCAAATCAAAATAAACGAGGTAGAGGTGCCCTGGCTTTTCAACGAAGCTCAACAGACGCTGAATTAGGTAATTTAACATATCCCTTTGTTATATATTTAGATTCAATAGTGAATAATCCTAACATCTTCATTCGTGTTTGCAGGCCTCGCTGCTTCATCATGAGGCCTTTCTCCGATACCGAGAGGAGTCCAAGCGTCACGAGGCCGAGACTCGGGATCTTGCCGAGAAGAAGGATACTTACAAGCTTCTTAGTGAAAAGCTTCAGGCCGAGTTAGAAGCGGTTTGGAAGGAGCATACCGGTTTGCTCGAGCAGGTAATACGGATATTCGATCTTAGCGATGATGATTCAGATATTTTTGGCTAACTACCCGAAACTACAGGCTCAAAAGAGACTCGACCAGGTCGGGCAGCTTCAGGCAGAGGTGGACGCGGTAAAGGCTAAGGCCAAACAATGGAAGAAAAATATGGACCGTCTGGCCTCGGAAAAAAAACTTCCCGGTCACAATTGGCTTCTACTGAGGTTCAGCTTCGGACTGCAAAGGAGAAGAACTCAGCGCAGGCCAAAACGATCGATGAACTCCAATCTCAATTGAGTTTAGCTATTTGTGGCCTAGTTATAACGGAAAAGGGTACAACTGGGTGGTCTCATTCACATCCAGATCATGAATGTTTGGAATCCATATTATGCAAGGAGACATTGCTTTTGCTAATTCGAAAGCTTCTTTTTATGCTATTTGGAGCGAAATTCACTAGAACTAGAAGGAGTGAATAGCTCCTTGTTCTAGTAGTTCAAGAGTGAAAGGGCGTAGTGAAAGAAGGGCCCATCTATCTTGCTTTTTCTTTTATTTTAAATATAAAAGAAGTGATGTCTGGGAGAGGCAGCTCTGATCGTAAACGCTCTTCTTCCAATAGGAGTTATTAGAATCTGGCCAAGGAGCTCGAGGCTATACATGAGCATGCAAAAAGTATGGTGTAGCATGCGTGGTGGGAATCTCGAAGGAAGACCCTCGAGGGAGTCCATGCCCAGAATTTTGACATATTGAACGAAATTGAGAATGCCAAGACATGCGAAGCCAATGCTCGAAGGCTAGCTTTTTCCGAGGAGGATTCCGATGCGTCTGAAGAGTCGGGCGAGTCTGGTGGCGAGGGAGACTTCGAAAGCGATGACGCATCCCTCGGTGAAGATTAGGCCGTTCAAATTTTGTAATGTTTCTTTTGTTGAGGCAATTTGGCCTTTGTATATGACATGTAACAGAGCTATTCATCCTTTGTAAAAAACTTATATATATATATATAGCCTCTTTCTTAGCTTTCAAATTTCTTCTTTGCTTTATTATTTATTTTCACAAAGGCCGAGATGCCTTAGCATGAAATAATTAGGTTGTGTTCGAATAAACCTTGCCTTTATCGCCTTTTTGGGTTAAGGCTTTGGTGTTGCCGATAATTTTTTCTTGAAATATTTTAAGTTTATAGCCTTGCCGAGGGTAATCTTTAGAACCGAGCAATGCCAAATAAGTGTCCTCGAGTGTTTTTAACTCGTAATGGCCTTAGCCTTTAATTCGGGCAATGCCAAATAAGCTTCATGCCCTCGAGTTTTATTAACTCGGACTGGCCTTAGACTTTAAATTCGGGCAATGCCAAATTAAGCTTCATGCCCTCAAGTTTTATTAACTTAGACTGGCCTTAGCCTTTAAATTCGGGCAATGCCAAATAAGCTTTATGCCCTCGAGTGTTATTAACTCGGTATGATCTTAGCCGTTAAATTAGGGCATGCCAAATAAGCTTCATGCCCTCGAGTGTTATTAACTTGGAATGACCTTAGCCGTTAAGTTTGGGCATGCCAAATAAGCTTCATGCCCTCGAGTGTTATTAACTCGGAATGACCTTAGCCGTTAAGTTTGGGCATGCCAAATAAGCTTCATGCCCTCGAGTGTTATTAACTCGGAATTGCCTTAACCGTTAAGTTCGGGTATGTCAAATAAGCTTCATGCCCTCGAGTGTTATTAACTCGGAATGACCTTAGCCGTTAAGTTCGGGCAATGCCAAATAGCTTCATGCCCTCGAGTGTTATTAACTCGGAATGGCCTTAGTTGTTAAGTTCGGGCATGCCAAATAAGCTTTATGCCCTCGAGTGTTATTAACTCGGAATGGCCTTAGCCGTTAAGTTCGGGCATGTCAAATAAGCTTCATGCCCTCGAGTGTTATTAACTCGGAATGGCCTTAGCCGTTAAGTTCGGGCAATGCCAAATAAGCTTTATGCCCTCGAGTGTTATTAACACGGAATGACCTTAGCCGTTAAGTTCGGGCATGCCAAATAAGCTTCATGCCCTCGAGTGTTATTAACTCGGAATGGCCTTAGCCGTTATGTTTGGGCAATGCCAAATAAGCATTATGCCCTCGAGTATCTTTAACTCGCAATGGCCTTAGCCTTTAGATTCAGGCATGCCAAATAAGCTTTATGCCCTCGAGTATCTTTAACTCGGAATGACCTTAGCCTTTAGATTCGGGCATGCCAAATAGGCTTCATGCCCTCGAGTTTTATTTACTCGGAACGGCCTTAGCCTTTTAAGTTAGGCAATGCCCACAGTCCCCGAGTGCAGTGAATGTTCGAACTCTGATTAAGGTGGCCCTTGGGCTCGATATCTTTAGGGGATCAAGTGTAGGAAATTCCTTGAAAAATGCAAGTGACGTTTTTGAAGACGGGATGTTTATATGCAAAGAAGAGTCTCATTTTTTATTCCTCTGCATAATAGTTGTATATGTATACACGTTTTGTGACAGGGCTCGAGTGAATTGAGCGCTCACGGTTCATTTGACCGTTTGGACCTTACAATAAATTTCGTTGATCGAGGCCCTTCAATCACGAAGTCGAAATGCCTTGTAAAATCCGATACCCAAGATATTGCCCCCAGTGTTCGAGGTTGACCGATGGGAAGCCTCGAATGCTGTCGTGATCATTCTAAGTTAGCACGATTACTTGTTGCCTTGTTAAAAACCTTGCCGGAAAACCCATTTGGGACAAAACCGGTTCAAGGGAAAAAGAGTGCAACACGTGCTTTCAGACCTAGGATCTCCTATCATCCTATGTAAGTTGCCTTAGCAATAATATCATTTTAAGTGAGATATATTCCAGTTGCTTGGTAATTGCTCACCGTTCATTATTCCGAGCTTGTAGGATCCTTTTTCGGTGATCCCGATAATTTGGTACGGTCCTTCCCAGTTCGGCCCCAATTTCCCTTCGTTCGGGTTTCGGGTGTCGACCGTGGAAGGGGGTCGACGATGTCCATTCCACATTTGCATGAACGACCATGGTGACAAGAACGAATATAACGGCTCTCCTGCTCGATGAATCATCGGAGCATGCCTTTGGCATCCATCGCATTTTCGAACGAACTCCTTCGCGTCTTTTCCTATGTCGATCCAGTAGTAACCGGCTATGATTATTTTTTGAACCAATGATTCGGCGCCCGAGTGATTTCTATAGGTTCCTTTGTGGACTTCCCTCAAAACGTATTCGGTATCCCTTGGTCCCAAACATATCGCCATAGGGCCATCGAATGTTCTTCTGACTAATGTTCCATCCTCGGATAAGCTAAATCGGGCTGCCTTGGTACGTAGGGCCCTCGATTCTTTTGGGTCCGAGGGTAGTGTTCTGGTCCTGATATATTTCACGTACTTATTCCTCCAGTCCCAAGTTAGGCTCATTGAATTGATCTCGGCGAGGCCTTGTTCCACCATCGATCTCATAAGTTGCACGGCTCCTCCTGAATTGAACTCGTTATCTTCGATCGACGGCTCGAGGTTAGCGAGGGCATCAGCTTCACTATTTTGATCCCGAGGTATATGTTGCAAAGTCCATTCTTTGAACCGATGTAATGTCACGTGTAACTTGTCTAAGTATCTCTGCATTCGTTCTTCCCTGACCTCGGATGCTCCGTTAACTTGGTTTACAATAAGGAGGGAGTCGCACTTGGCTTCGATCACATCCGCTCCTAAGCTTTTGGCTAATTCAAGGCCTGCAATCATGGCCTCATATTCGGCCTCGTTGTTAGTCAATTTCACAGTCTTAATAGATTGTCTAATTATATTACCTGTTGGTGGCTTTAGTACGATACCAAGTCCGGACCCTTTGGCGTTCGAGGCTCCATCTTTAAAGAGGGTCCAGATTTCCAAAGATGTCCCTGAGTTAACTAGTAACTCTCTTTCGACCTCAGGCATCGGGGCCGGTGTAAAGTCGGCCATGAAATCCGCCAATATTTGAGACTTAATGGCGGTCCGAGGTCGATATTCAATATCGTATTCACTTACTTCCACGACCCATTTGGCCAATCGGTCCGAGAGTTCGGGTTTATGCATAACGTTCCTTAATGGGTAAGTAGTCACGACACATATGGGGTGACATTGGAAGTATGGTTTTAGTTTTCTAGAGGCACTTAGCAAAGCGAGCGCCAATTTCTCTAAGTCGGGGTATCTAGTTTCGGCCTCACCCAAGGTCCGGCTAACATAATAAATTGGAAATTGCGTACCTTGTTCTTTCCGAACTAGGACTCCACTTACCGTTATCTCCGATACTGCCAAATACAAGTATAGTGACTCGTCTGCCCTCGGTGTGTGAAGTAGTGGCGGGCTCGATAAATAACGCTTAAGCTCTTCCAAGGCCCGCTTGCATTCCGGGGTCCTTGTGAAGTTGTTTTTCTTTTTCAGCAATGAGAAAAATCGATGGCTCTTATTGGAGGACCTCGAGATGAATCGCCCTAGGGCGGCAATGCGCCCGGTTAGCCTTTGCACGGCCTTCACGTTGTCCAGTACCGTGATATCTTCGATAGCTTTGATCTTGTCGGGGTTGATCTCGATTCCTCGCTTGGATACCATGAACCCGAGAAATTTACCTGACCCGACTCCGAACGCGCATTTTTTGGATTCAGCTTCATGTTGTACTTCTTCAATATACTGAAGGTTTCCTGCAAATACTTTAAATGGCCCTCTACTCGTAGGGATTTAACCAACATATCGTCAATGTAAACTTCCATCGATTTTCCTATTTGTTTTTCGAACATCCGATTTACTAGGTATTGGTATGTGGCATCGGTATTTTTTAATCCAAACGGCATTACATTATAACAATATGTACCGTTTTTAGTGATGAAAGAGGTTTTATCCTGATCACCCGGGTCCATCCGTATTTGGTTGTACCCGAAATAGGCATCGAGAAAATTGAGGATCTCGTGGCCGGCCGTGGCATCGATCATACGATCGATGTTGGGCAAAGGAAAAGAGTCTTTGGGGCATGCCTTATTCAAATCTTTGTAATCTACACACATTCTTACTTTATTCCCTTTCTTTAGGGACTACCACTAATGTTGCTAACCAATCTGGGTATTTAACCTCTCGAATGGACCCTATTTTTAGGAGTTTAGATACCTCGTCCGTGATGAAAATATGTTTGGCCTCGGATTGGGGACTCCTCTTCTGCTTGACCGGATTAATTTTTGGGTTCATGCTTACTTTGTGAGTGGTTATTTCTGGTGGGACCCCTGTCATATCAAGATGGGACTAAGCAAAACAATCTATGTTAATTATAAGAAATTGAATAAATTTTTTCCTGAGCTCGGGAGTTAATCCCGTGCCCAGGTATACCTTACGATCGGGCAAATGCTTGATTAATACAACCTGTTCCAGCTCTTCGACCGTCGATTTGGTTGCGTCGGAGTCATCGGGGATTATAAAAGATCGGGGAACCCCGTAATCATTGTCTTCGTAAGTCTTTTGCTTATCTGATCATATCGTTATCGGAATCTGTAATTGCTATTTGGCTTTTGGATCGGTGCCATAATTCGGCTCCTTCGGTGTTGCGAGCGTTGATATCAGAACCACTTCTTCGATGGCAAACATCTCTTTTGCGGCTGGTTGTTTCCCGTAGATTGTTTTTATCCCCCCTGGGACTGGGAATTTTCACACTTGGTGAAGAGTTGAGGGTACTGCTCTCATGTGGTGGATCCATAGCCTTCCGAGAAGGGCGTTGTACCTCATATCCCCTTCGATTACATAAAACTTGGCCTCTCGTACGATTCCGACGGTGTTGACCGGTAATGTTATCTCCCCTTTGGTGGTTTCACATGCCATGTTGAACCCGTTTAGGACTCGGACTGCTGGCACGATCCTGTCTTGTAGACCGAGCTGTTCTACGACCTTCGATCGAATAATGTTGGACGAGCTACCCGGATCAATTAACACGTTTGATTCTAGTTTTATTTACGAGTACAGATATAACCAGTGCATCATTGTAAGGTTGTATGATCCCTTTTGCGTCCTCGTCACTGAAAGATAAGGCTCCTTTAGGTATGTAGTCTCGAGTTCGTTTCTCCGTAGTGACGGAGATTCTGGTGCGTTTCAACATTGGCCCTTGTGGGATGTCGACTCCACCGATGATCATATTTATGACATGTTTAGGTTTGGTATCTTCTTTTTCGCCATGTTTGTTAGAATCCGTGTTTCTAAAGTGATTCTTGGCTCGGTCGCTCAACAACTCTCGAAGGTGCCCATTGTTGAATAAACATGCTACTTTTTCTCTCAGCTGCCGACAATCTTCCGTTCTATGACCGTGAGTGCCATGATATTTGCACATCTGGTTAGGGTCCCTTTGAGATGGATCGAGTTGTAGAGGTCGAGGCCATTTGGTATCACTGATGCGCCCGATAGCAGATACGATGGTGGCATCATCGATATTAAAGTTGTATTCTGATAGCCTTGGTGCTTCTTTAGGCTCGAGGGACCTGTCAAAGCCATTTTTGGTCATGAGCCCCCGGGTGCTTCGACCTCGATCACTTCTCCTGTCGTTTCTTACGGGGTTCCACCCCGATCCTCTGCTCCTTCTATCTACATTATAGGGCCGATATCGATCCCTGTTTGATCCTGGTTCACGATCGATGTCCCTCTTGGATCTATAGAGAGTCATAGCGGGATATATAGACTTCGAAGGTGCCCCGAGTTGATCATCTTCGACTCTGATTTTCGATTCATACCGATTGAGTACATCGGTCCAGGTAACGACATGGTATTCTATCAAGCTTAGCTTTAATTGCTGCTAGGCCATCGAGCTTTGAATATTGAGTCCCTCAGTGAAAGCCTGAACAACCCAATCATCAGCGAACGATGGCAGATCCATTTGTTCCATTTGAAAACGGGACACGAACTCCCTAAGCATCTCGTTCTCCTTCTGTTTGACTTTGAAAAGGTCCGATTTCTTGGTTTCGACCTTGATGGCACCGGCATGTGCTTTTATGAAAGAGTCTGCAAGTATAGCAAATGAGTCAATAGAATTAGGAGGTAAGTTGTGATACCATATCATGGCTCCCTTCGACAGGGTCTCCACAAATTTTTTCAGCAAAATAGATTCGATTTCGTCGTCTTCTAAGTCGTTCCCTTTGATGGCACATGTATAAGATGTTACATGCTCGTTTGGATCGATCGTTCCATTGTACTTAGGTATTTCGGGCATACAAAATTTCTTGGAGATCGATTTTGGGGTCGCGCTTGGGGGAAAAGGGTTTTGCACGAACTTCTTGGAATCCAGCCCCTTCAATATCGGGGGTGTTCTTAGGATTTGATCTACCATGGAATTATAGGTTTTAACCCTTTTATCGTTCGCTTCGATCCTCTTTCCCCCCCATTCTATCCGCTTTGTCAGCTCCTCGAGCATTTTTATAATTTCGGGGTTAGTCCCCGATTCTTGTTCATTCGACCTTACCACGCCCGGTTCTGTTCTGCGGGTGACTTCTTGGGGCGGATCAGGTTCAACCCTGCTTGGTGCCTGGGTTTGGCTCTGTAGCTGATCTATCACCACCTATTGAGCTTGCAGCATTTCGAACATCATGCGTAGGCTAATCCCGTCTTCTTCAATGTTGTGTGTTTCGAGCTGCTGATCGGGCTCCACCACAGACGCTATTTTCAGGGTCGGTAAGCAAGTTCGCGTCGTTGGCCACATGTGAATTTACATCAATTGGATCCGCATTCTGAATTCCAACGACATCAACGGGTGGCCCCGCATTAGCGGGCGCCATGTTATTCTCACCTTGATGATCGACCTCATTGTCGATATGTAGAGGTGCTATTTGAGAGTTTTTCATTTTTGGCTTGAAATCAAAGATACTTCAAAGAGAAAGTATAATGTAGTGCGTGTTATGAAGATTTGTATCAAATAACCACTATTATTCTTAGCCCACGGTGGGCGCCAAACTGTTTACCCCCAAAATTGGATAACAATTGAATTTATTCGCGATTTTAAGGATCTATGATCTAATTTGATACAAAATGAGAAATCAGATTTAATATGAAAGAATAAGTAGAAAAATAAATGCAAACCATGCAGATTGGACAACTTAAGCCTCGCAAGGTTGATTTCCTTCGAATTTAGATGTGATACTATTAAAGCCAGAATAATATGAACAAAGCTGAAAAATAGTATCTTGTTCTCTTAAGTACGTTACCATGAGTCCAATGGATTACTCCATTCCCTTTACATATGTGGGCAGATGAAACATTTAACACATTATTTTATAAGAAATTATGTAGATCGTTGGCTTCCTTTTTGACTTAATCCCGCAATTTTCGCCGTAATGATTGGTCAATGGCGAGAATCACGGATACTTGTCGTGTGAGTTGGCAAAGCTTTTCTTCGAGGTCGTTAGAAGCGGGGTCGGTCGTTCCCCCGATAAACTCGAGGGCAAATTTCATGGTCTTGTTCGAACTTCGATCCTCGATATCGAGCTCAGTTACATATGTAACTTCGATCTCTTATGTAGGTGTCGAGCCTTGACCTATTATTCTAGATGCCTCGATCAAGCATAGAGCTCGGTTCTACCCGTATACAATAATAAACCTTTTAAAAATGGGCCAAATATGGATAAGATCCATATTATCCACCTAAACAATGGATAATCAATGAGTTTAACTTTTATATTTACTCAAATTGAGGCTCCTCAAGTTTCGAAAACTATGAAATTCTCTCAAACGTGATCATATTCAAGAAGGTAGGAATAATATGGATATCCATATTATCCACTAATTAATATATTTTCTATCCGTATTAAATATGACCAGAGTTGAATTTTTACCCGTTTTCGACTCACCATACCCGACCCGCATGTTTGCCGCCCCTAATCATATATGATGCTCTAAATTGGTTCTTCCGGCTAGTTAAAGTCTTGTGAGTCCAAATATATTTTCCAATGCCTAGGAAAATAAAGATTAGGTGTACATGTCCAACTTTAATTTGCAACGTTATATTGAGTAACTTTTGATTGGACCTGTTGGCTAAGCTTGGAACGCCAGCTTATGATTTGCAACTCCCCTAAGAAACCTTAGATTGTGAACCATTACCCAACTTTTGGTCTTTGTCCAATCGTTCTTTTGTTTTTTGACCGGACCAATGGTCTTAATTTAAATCTTAATCTTCCTGCAAGAGAAGAGTCAAAATAGGGCCTTGCCTTTTCGCCGGAGCTTCATGGGGCGTTCTACCGTTTTCCAATCAGATGTTTGGATGTGAGCTACAATCTGCGGGGAGCCAAATGAACATATGACCTTGCCTTGTCATTTGATCTCTTTTCTCGTGTGACTAGGAATATTTAGTCACAACCTCTCAATTGTCACCACCTAGCCTTTCTTGATCAACATCAATCAGGTTCAGGCAATGAAGCTTACACTCATTCACAGTATACCAGAATTAGCAAGTAAATGTTTCAGAATGTGTTGTGGAATGCTAAACTGTAGAATTTACTCCATTTTGCAAATACAAAATAAACAAGAAAAAGTAAAGAAAAGAGTGCTTAGAAGTAGAGGTAGCATACAAAGGGAGATTTGACACATTCTGAATGCTGTATAATGACATTATAACAAAAAAAACTGATTTATCGAATGAATAAACCATCTAACCTAAGTCTAATAATGTACATTGAGTACCGCCAGATCAAGCCATATATTATGAACAAATGTATCCAACACTAGAAAGCCTGCACATACAATTTCTGTAAATCAAACACCCCTGGGCAAATAAACATTTTACATGTCTAATGCAGGGCCACTCAGAAGTCCCAAAACTTCATAGAAGTGGTCAAACTAAAGAATAAAATGAAAAAGAGGAAGAGAAAAAAAGATTATGACAACATATCCTGGACCATTTCTTGAATAAGGTCACCAATAATCTGGCATTCCATATCTTTACCTAGAGCATTGACATCTTCATCGACCAATCCGGACCAAGGGGTGGACTTCAAGTCCCTGTCCACTATATTGTCCAGGGATTGAGATGTTCTATCCCATGGAGGGTAAACATAAACACCAACTATTTCCCACACGCGTTCCAATAACTTCTTTCCCTGAGGTGGTCGTGGCATAGGACCGACAGCACTTTTCATGAACCGAGACATTGTGGAAGCCCCTCCAAGTACACTTGGAAGTGCTTCATTCAGTAAGTCACACAATAACTTGTGATATATCTTCTGTAATTGATCTTCTGTATATCCTTCTTCATCCTTTGCTTTTTGTATGTATGACTTTTCTACTTCTTCAAAAACTTGGTTGCTGATAGGCTTTCCAAGTGGATCCCATCTTGATATATATTTATCACGCGAACCATCATATAAACCAGAAGCAACAAGCAGGTCTCTAATGTATGCCTCGGCTTGGTCTTCAATCTCCAACATCTCCTCTTCAATTGGCTGTTCATCGATCACGGTCTCCTCAGAGTCATAAGTATCTAGTTGATTCAGTTGCCTCCTTAGCTCTGTCATGTAAAAATAAAATACCAACTTCTTTTAGAGTTCCACAATTTCAAGATAGAGTAATAACAATTGGTAATGCCAATCATATTGCAATTAAGGAAGGTACTAAGTTAGGGAAAGAAGTGGATGAGATACAACTCCAGGAATATGATCTATGTAGTTTTTTATTTTATTTCAAGCACATGATGAGGGACAAAAATCATGTCAAAGGAATGTTTATGTGATCACAGCTGAAGTTTCTATAGTTTGCACAACGCCCAAACAGCATTATTTTATGAGCCCAAACCACATGGTTAGAATTGCTTTGTGTGTTTTCCAGAAAACATGATCATGCTATAGTGAATCGGAAAGAAAGAACAATGCATGTTTGAGGACATTCAAAAAAACTTTTAATAGTACCGTTCAAATTAGTGCTGATCTCTCTGAAAACACGAGGCATCTCGCTATCATCCAGTGGATGTACATCAGAGGTTGATGATGGGGTGAAGTAGTCTGTTTGCCTCCAATATTCTTCATTGACACTGCTGCATACAGATGCAGGACTTGGTGGTACTTCAGTGGGATTTTCCTAGAACCAAATAATATTCAAAGTTAGATGTAAAGCCGAATCAGCATCATTCAGATACTTAATTTCAACTCTTTCTAGGAGAGTGTATAAATCAGAGTGATTATTTAGACTCCTTACATGTCTTTCATAAAAATTCGGTGTGCCAGTTGGTGGGCTTGGAAAATCTTTCATGAGATTGTATGTTTGTCCATGTGGTTCCTCCCAAGAATGAACTTTTCTACCAAAGAGCCTGCCTTTAAGTATGAAACTATAACTAAAGTTGGAAACCTTTCGCCTAAGGTTGAATTTCTCCTTTTGACGTTTTTTTACATTCCCTGTGGCCTTCTCAATAGTTTCATGTTTTCTTCTAATATGGGCCCCTGTCAACATATGTCGATCCTCTAGAAGAAGCTTTCCAAATATGTCCCCGACACAGGAGCTGACAAGGATCTAATTAGGTTCCTAGGGGATAGTTCCTCCTCAAGCATTATATCATTGCCCGTATCCCGTCTGAAAGATCTGGTGTGCATGTCTAATTCATCTTTGAGATTGTCAGAGTTGGTGGCTTTATCTCCCGTATTACAAGTGTATCTGATTTCTTCAGCATTGCATTTTTCTTTATTCAGAACCGTTGATATGGAGCTTCCACGAGCAAGCCTATGAGTACCGTGAGATGTTTCTTGTTTGAGGACATTCCTCAACCTTTCTGTCAAAAATCTCCTTGTATCTCTATTGACGAATTCAGGAGAACTCGTTCCATCAAATTGAATATCACTTCTATAGGACCTTGTCGACTCTGATCGAGGTAATGTTATTTCTAAGTCCCTAGTAACACTCTCCCTTGCATGTTTTGCAATAGATTGAGCTATTTGCTTAGCATCTGGTGACATTTCGCTATAAGGGGTCTCAATTCCTCCTCCTCTGACAGTAGTGATCCTTTTGGAACTCTTTCCTTGCAATTCACAGTTCAGTCTTTCCTTGACCTCCTCAAGAAATTCTTCTATACTACCCCTGTCTTCAGAAATGCCCGGAGAACTTGCCCACGATTCATTGTTAGTCCCCATCCTGTCAGGACCAGGCCTCAGAATTACTATCTTTGTAGGTGCTGAAGCAACGTCAAGTCCCTGGTAAGAACTTGTAAGAGGACGCTGCTGAAAATCGGGGTTCGGAGTAACTTCCCTTACACAGTTGGCCTTATTTAGTGCAGGTGCATGGAGTTCATTTACATTTTTCTGATACTCCAAAAGGCCTCTTTCAGGGGGATTCACTGTTACTGTATGCCCTCTAAGCTCTATAGGTTTCTCAGTAGCTGCGGTTCTCATTGAATTTGCATAAATAGTCAACTTTTCCTTGTTCAGGCTTTGTTGTGCTAGCCATTGACTTGGACTGGTGCCAAGTTCAACAAACTTTGAACATTCCTTGAACCTTGCTGCTTGCCATGCTTCAAAATCTTTCTTAAACTTTTGTAGTTCCTCCTCCTGAGGATGTTCTCGAGGTTTATATTTGTTCAGTTTTTGGCTATCACTCTGTCGGTCAAAATCACATGCTTCGTCATGGTTAGAGGAGTTCGAAATTTTCTGTCTGGAGGACTGTGTTGCATGATCGATGGAGACCTTTCTCAACCATTCCTCTTTGGGATGGTTGGCATTTTTCTTATCATTCTTTTTCTCAACCTGCTTTGTCAATGATCTTCTTGTATCTAATGGTAAAGCATCCACTCCCATTAGACGGGCCACCACACTAGGTGCACTATGTCCTGTGTTTGGTCTTCTAGCTATTTCTTCTCTGATCAGTTTCTTCATTGGAGCCTCGTTCCCATAACAGTTCTTCTCCGGCCAGTCAATCATGTGATAAGTGCACTGCATTCAAATATGTGGATGGAAATGAGAAGGAATCATCTCAAAACTCTCACAAAATTCAGAAGCTTGGTCTTGCAACATATAAAAAAATTGATGAAGTGTAGAAAAATGAAACAAAAACAACAAATGAAGGATTTGAGATGCAAGAACATAGAAAACAACTAACTTGTAAAGATTAGAAAACGGCATTGTTAACAAGTTAACTCATGATGTTCACAGAGAACAAAGAATTGAACTTCTAAGTGCTGAACTCCTAGATTCTCCTATGTACAAGCAAATTTCTGAGTTGCAGCCATTGAGTTCTTTGTCATTCTGAACTCGCAAAATCTGCATACTCTATAAGCCCATAGTTACATGAGGCAGGAGAATCCTAGCGCCCGATTTATTGCTGTTTTATCATATGCAAATATGTTCGAACATGACATAATAAAACTTTTACCTGAGCGTTTTCCCCTCCAGCACCAAACCTCTGATAAGTTTCAACTGGAAATTCCATGCTATTTCTAGGAGCATCCAAGCCTGCATAATAGATGAATGTATCATCATATTTTCAGTTGGTTTTGTAGAAGAAGAAGAAGAGATTGAAAGAGCCACAACACAATATCACCAATGTCTCAATTTTATTTTGATATGGTGCTTATACATATATGGGTATTGCAACAAGTTCTTTATACTGCAATAGTTGCTAGAGTAGAAGCAGAAACCATTGCGCTTCAGGATTTGAACGTAAGAAGAGTGGTAAAAGAATTTGATCATCACTTTTTTCTCAAATTAGTTAATATCCTGATAAACTTGAATGTTCCAAAATAGGATCTGCCAATTCATCAAACAGTGAAAAAGGACCACTAACATTACTAGCTTCCACAATATCATGCTCGTGATGCAACTTGAGAGAATGAAAAGCACTTACCGCCATGTCTTTTGTTTGAAAGAAATTTTCTTGCCATCGCTCCTTGATCAAAATCAATGAGGTCCAACAAGCTTCCCATAACCTTATAGAGGTAGCTCCATGTTACCCCGTGAAACTAAGAATTTACTGAAGTATATACCATCCAGCGAAATGAAATCCTTAAACCTAGTCCACACCCTGCAGACACAATAACATCAACTGATGAATTTACCCGACAAACAACAATGTCCAAGGAAAAAGGAATGAACAGAATTTTTCACTTAATTAGCAATGCTTATTGAGAAATGAGAGGTAACTAACTGAAATCATATTCATAAAGCTGAGCCTTTTTTGTTATATACTAATATGCATTGGACATCTTAAACATGTGAAAGGAGCAAATAAATCCAATTCATACCACAGCTACTTATATTCGTGAGAGCCCCTACCAGATTTCCACTAAGTTCATGCCATTGGTAATAAAATTATTACTAATTTAGGTAATAACTGGGAACATCCTCCACGACAAAATCTATACGTATTTAGAAAAAAAATAATCAATAAACTGCAAAACAAATGGCTATGCTTAAAACTAGTATGCTTTTTTACATATGGAAATATGAGACTCCTGAGATGATTCAAGTTCAACAAAAATTAATTATTTTGTTGATTGGTGATCACTTTCTAAACTGATCTAGTAAACATTAGACATTCATAATTCAGCAAACAAACTTTAGCAGATACATCTAATTTTATAGAAAGGTATTATGAGATAACACAGTTCATAGAAACGAATAGATGCATAGAATAAACAGTTTAAAAGAAACTAAAAAACAGAGAGGCAAAGCAGAGAGAATCCAACTTATAATTCATTCTCGTGAACAACTCATGACTGGATTTCCCGACAGCAGAAATAAGACACACATCTTCATTGATAGATCAATTTCAACATAAATTCAGCAATTCGTTGTTATTAAAATCACAAGTTTGCCTTCTGAAAAAACTTTTCACACAAGGACCAGAGGGTACCGGTCAAAGCAACCTTTTAACTTTCCTCGAGATCAACGATCCAAGAACAAGAAAAAGATGAGAGAGAAAAAGCAAAAATAAATAAAAAAACTATCATTTCAACTTTTCAGACCAGGATAAACTGACAAACAAAAGGAAAGAGAAAACGGCAAAAAAGAATCTGACCCAGAATGCACTAGAAAAAAGTTTCATCAAAATCCTCGAGATGTTGATCAACAGTATTTTACACCAACAATTGTCAACTGTATTCAGCAAAATTGTCAATTCACCGTTGAAGAACCAGAGGGAACCGAAATGCTCAAATGTCAACAAGTGAAAACGTAGAAAAAGGGGAAAGAAGGCTAAGGAATTGGAGGGAGAAGAGAAAGAAGAAAGTGTATTTGACTGACAGAAGGGAATTGAAGGAAAAGCTGAATGTAAGAGCTGGAGTTGACGTGTATTCTTGAAGAAGAAGAAGAACAATGAAGCAGAAGAGGAGACTAGCGAATGGGATAAAAATAATACAAGGACAATAATAATGAAATGAAAAGAAGAAAAAGCAGTTACTACTATTCTACTTTTTAGCATGAGAGTCCATCTCTCGAATAACACCTTCCAAAAAGCTAACTCCCTTGTTCCCTCCTCCTCTTTCGTACTATCAGTTTATTAATAATGTAATTCTATTAATTTTATATAATAGTATTAATTGATTATATAGAATAAATAATAAGTAATATGTTATAATAGGTTAAAGTTATATTGATACTATAAAAATTTATTTCACTGCATCACTATACATAACTTAAATCTTTTTCTATATTACTCAACCCATTCTCAATTTTCTGATTATATGATACTCTTTTATTTTGAAAAGTTCACCTATATCTAACATAAGTATATTAATAACTGTATACTCTTTTTGTTCAAATTCTTGGTATGCACTCATCGAATAGGAATCCGTTTTCTAAAAGATCATATTGGGTTTCATGTGAGGCTTTGATTGAAAAATAATACTATTTCACAATTATTACTATAATATATAATGAACAATTCAAAATAATATTTAAAATTCGAGAATATCATTTGGTGTAATAAAATGGAACGAAGAGAATAATCAAATACTAAAGCAGCTTTGGACATGTAAGAAAGTTAGAAAAAAATAAATGGGATACCAAAATCATGAGTAACACCTAATATAAGTGTGACGTGTACAGTGTGTGATTCTGATATAGCCAAAGGGGAAAATTTTGAAAAGGAAAATTGGGAAAAATTGATTTTACTTTATTATTTTATGTGACTTGAAAAAACATTTCTTTCACTACAATGTTTTCTCTCATATATGATAAGTAGGGAAAACTAAATAAATCTTTCGTTAAATTCGAATTATAGCCAACTAAATTCATAAAAGATACTCCCTCCGTTTCAATTCATGTGAACTCATCTGATTGGGCACGGAGTTCAAGAAAAAAGAAAAGATATTTGAACTTGTTGTGTAAAATGAGGCACATATATTTTGTGTAGCTATAAATCATTGCATAAAGATAAATTATTTCTAAATAAGAAAAGAAGTCATTCTTTTTGACACGGACTAAAAATAAAATAAGTTCACATAAATTGTTAGAGAGGTAATATGTTTTTTCATATTTGAGTATTTTTATAACGGGATTAGGTGTAGTTGATGGATCCCTCATAAATATGCCTGACAGAATGATTCTGATAGATGCTAAACTAGTTTAATATTTGATGCTTAAGACGGCAATCAATTTTTAAAGAAATGCCTCTTTTAGTGCCCATGTGATAAGCTGTATTTTTCTCCATTAATTCATTTCCAGTCAGAGGATACCTTCTTTTTATTTTCTTCATAGTTTGTTGAGCACCAATACAAGAGAACTATCAATTTTTAGAACGAACTCATAAGTTTTTATTTTTTTATTTTCCACCTGATATTTGTTATTCGTATTGAACCACGGTAATTCGGATTCGCGCTGCATAAATATTACGAAAAACCATAAGTTGTATGGAGTAGTATAAAAAATCCAAAAATTTAACATAAAACATAGTAATAGTAATAATTCCTGGATATACCAACTAGTTAGTAGTAACCACTTGAAGCAACCCTCATGCGCTAATGTGACATTTGGATTTAATTTTTGTTTAATTTCTAACAGTGTTTTAAAAAATAATCTTGAAAAACAAAGTTTTGTCTGAAGTTGTTTTTTCACCAAAAGGAAACTTTAATGTATTTTGTAAGTTTAAGTGGGGGAGTCTGGTCGATAACTTGTCAAATGAACCAATTCCTAACTACGTGAAGCAACAACATGCAATTGTGTGCATAAAAACTCAAAGATGCTCTTTATTTGACCCCAAAAAAAAAAAACTCAAAGATGCTCTTTTTTAATTTTTTTTTTGTCTATTGGAGTAATTTGCCAACAAGAATTGATTTAAATAGACATTAGAACGCTAAATTGCGTATATTGCAATTTAGTGTCTAAAAAGTCTAGGCCTTAAATCAACCCAAAGTGTTTAATTTCATTAGGAACAAGTAAAAGATATTTAGATGGTTCAATATATTACAACAAGTTAATATACACTTAAAGTTTAAAAATTATTCATGTCGCCAATATATAATACTCCCTCTGTTTCAATTTATGTGAATATATTTAACTAGGTACGGAGTTTAAAAAAAAAAAGACTTTTGAACTTGTGATGTAAAATGAGACACATATATTTTGTGTTGCTATAAATCAATGCATAAAGGTAAATTATTTTCGAATATGGAAAAAAGGACATTCTTTTTGGCACTGATTAAAAAAGAAATAAGTCCACATAAATTGAAACGGAGAGAGTAGTATAGTTAAATATTTAGAAATCGAAAGGAAAAAGAGTAAGTGAAAAAGACAGTTAGATGAGGGAGGATAAGGAGAGACAAGAGACCGACAAAGTTTGTAGTGAAGTAGTAAGTGCTCTTTTATCCTTAATCTTAATTATAGGTCTTGGGTTCGAGCTATGTGTATGAAATCGTCTTTGTTAGAGAACGTCTTATCCCTCAATATAGGACTTTTCGGCAATAAATTCAAATTTAATCGTGTCCTAATATGGGTATAGAATACGAGAAAGAAAAGAAAAAGAGACGAGAGCAAAAGACGCTAGCTTCGTTGTCTGTGTTTGTTACAAAGTCGTTTAAATATAAATATTCTTACATTCTATCCCAAACTGTCATTATAACGGAATTGCTTTAAGTCGTAATACTTTATTCTATCTTTTTATAGCTTCCAATATTTTAATGCGAAACAACCCTTCAAACAAACATAAACAGCTCACAATTCGCAGATACTTTTGTGCACGACGCCTTCCATTTGGCGCCCATCCCCTTAACTGCCTCCCCTATCTCTCTTGACTCTACTATATCTTATATTTTCTTCTCTTTTGTTAAGGGAATGATTCTAGTTTTCTCTGGTTTTATTTAAATTAGTATTAATTTAGAGATAGTTCCAAGGCTACTTCCACCCAAATTCCTTTGAAGAAATTAAGAGTAGTTTATATTGTTAGAGGTCGTTCGATTTTCGGACCGTTTATACAACAACAATCCAGTATAATCTCATTAGTGGGGTCTGGGAAGAGTAGTGTGTACGCAGACCTTACCCCTACTATGAGGTAGAGATACTGTTTCCAATAGACCCTCGGCATCCTTCCCTCCAAGAACTTCCATCTTGCTCTTGGGGTGACTCGAATTCACAACCTCTTGGTTGGAAGTGGAGGTTGCTTGCCATCAGAGCAACCCCTCTTGAAGGCCCCCAAATTTATTTTAAATTTTTATTATTATTGTTACTATTATATATTATATAATTTATATAAATAATTAGAATAAAAAAGTATTACAGTATATTTTTTGTTACTTGATTGAGATTATTTTATATAATAAATTTATAAATTATGATAATTTTCTTCCCTCATTAATTAGTATATTTGACAAGAGTGGGTTGCTCTAGTGGTGAGCACCCTCCACTTTCAACCAAGAGGTTGTGAGTTCGAGTAATCCCAAGAGCAAGGTGGGGAGTTCTTGGAGGGAGGGAGCCGAGGGTCTATCGAAAACAACCTCTATACTCCATGGTAGGGGTAAAGTCTGCGTACAAACTACCCTCACTACTAAATATCTGCTAAAAACCGACCAACGTTGGTCGGTCAAAAAATGCGACAAAAAACCGTCCAGGTTGGACGCAAACTGGGAAAAAAAATATTTATATTTTTTTTAAACAAAATACCGAC